TATTTCTATAGGTGGTAAGTACAACTCTTTCTTGTTCTCTCTCTCTCTCTCTCTCTCTCTCTCCACAAGATTCAAAATTTATTGATCTCTCTATTTATCTTCAAGATGCAAAACATTGTTATTCAAATCAAATAACCACGATCCCATTTTGGAATAATCGCGTTATATCGCCGGTCTTGGTAATCGATGACGGGAGTATCATAATAAAAAAATTTCCTCGGCTCTTGTTCGCCGAGTGAACGATCTTGGGTAACCCGATCGCGGCTCAAAAAGTTCCGCTACTGGTTTTTAAAAGAGGCGAAAGGAGGCGCGTCGTTCATTAAGGGGACGGTGCGCTGTTAAATCAAAAAGCACTGGCCTCGATTATGGCGCATCGATTCTTGCATTACACCTTGCTCGGCCACGACGGGTGGCTGCTGCGCTTCAGAGTTGCCCGCTGTGACTAGTTAATATATGCTGACCGTTGAAGTAACGAGTCGTAAATTTAGTAACTTTTGATCCCGGCTTGCTATAATTTCAGTGGAACGATCGTGAAACAAATTAAACATGGTCGCGAACGGGAGCTTTTTAAAAGAACACGGTATCCTGTCATCAATTGCGAAATAATGTTGGCAAATTATCTTAGAGAAAAAGCTAAAAATCTAAATGTAATATCCTTTATGCGTGAAGTTATTTGTATATATATATATATATAGATTATTTAATTGCGCAAATTTTAAATCGCATTTATAAGAGTGTCGTGTTAATAAAATTTCTCATTTTTACGTGGCATGGCATACAAGTAATATCATGCATAACAAGGTTAAGGTTACATAATACATTTTAATAAATTTTCCTAGTGATTTTTAGAATTAGATAGAAATGTACGCGAAATATATATGAAAAAAAAAAAAAACAAATTAACTAATTTTTGAAATTTGTACAATTTCAAATTTTAACAATTTGGATAAAAACTTAATTAATAAAATTTAATATGAAAATATTAAAGAACATTATAAAACACAACTTTTGTTCGCTGTTGAAAATAGTGAACAGGAGAAAAATATTTTCTCTCTTTATCTTCTTCTTCATCCTATACTGTATATGTATATGTATAAGTACATGAGTCAATTCCGATTTAAGACATACAGGTTGAACGTGTCAAACTTCCTAGTATACTTGAAGCACCCAGTATATCCCCGTCTATCTAGCCCACGCGATCGGGCAGAATATTAGCCGGTGTATAAAATGCATTTGTGATCACGACAGGAATGTAAATGGCGTACTTCACCACGTCTCTCGCGGGACCAGCCTCGAATTATCAGCAATAAAGTATCTCGCTGGCGTGTTGAACAAGACATGACCGGCGGTAGTGCAAGCACCGCTACATTTGTTGCTGAATGGAGTTGGGTCCTCTGGTCGGTGATCGTTGATCCTTGCGCAGCTGGATGGTACCACGTTGGCTATAACGATCGTAAAGAGATCGTTGATCTAATATTAAAGGCGCATACGAGGCGTTCCGTGGCATCGAAACAAGGAAAAAGAAAATTTTTGTGGTTTCAAGAATCCTCGAATGATAAATTAAGTAAAAATCCTTAAGAACATGGGAACATTGTAATTTCAATTGTCGCCTAGAGAGCGCGCCCTCATCCTTTATGATTGAAATTGTCGTTTTGTTAACCTTGCTAATAAGAAAATTTTAATTTAACACGTAAGGTAAGAAAATTTAAAATTTTTCATTTTATATTATTATTTACATTTAGAAAATTATAATTTTTTAAATTTCTGAATTGTTGTTTTTAGATTTTTACATAGATTATACCGAAACAACTTTCTGGATAAACGATATTTTACGTTTTATCGAATTCTTGAAAGGTATTCAAGATTTCTTCGATGATTAAATTAACAATTTTATGAGTAAAAGCTTTTAACGCATTATATGAATATAAATTTATCTTGATAACTTATCTAGTTATTTCTCTATTTACTTATGCAGGACGTTCCACGATGAGTGATACAATTGAGAATAAGATAATTCTACGTGGAAAAACATGAAACAATTCTACATGGAATCGAAAATATCGAATAAAATTGTTCAACCTTTTCGCATCTATGAAGTTATCTCGCGATGTAATGTCGTTTGTGTGATGCTTTAAGCGAAATATCTCGTGTGTCGTTTTCGTTAAAAAACATCTATCGTTCAAAGGAATCACTAATGCTAAGTATAGAATATATTTTTATTTTTAAAAATAATTTTTCTTTATTTCTGTTTTCTTTGTTTCGCATCGCGAAATATTTCGTCAAGGATACAAAGAGTTCAGCATGAAATTTTGAGAAAATTGAATTTAAAAATTTTTTGAATTTAATGACTATTTACTTATTTATTATTGAATTTAATTCATATTTACAATATGTATATTTTTCAAATATCAAATTTATATTTTATATTATTCATGACAACCAATAATCAAATTTTAATATTTTTATTATAAATATTGTAGATATATTTATGATAAATTTCTTCTATAATATGATTGATCGTCATTATATGACAAAACACAGGATAATTGAAATAATATTATTTCGTCGAATTCAAACTTTGAAAAATATTTCATATGCATCAACTTAATAAATTTTTATTTAAACACTATTTGATACAAAAAAGAAAACTGATGTAAAATGTTAAATATAATTTCATTGCTTTACTACTGTTGTTGGCCTTGTAGAGAAGCGCAAAGCGGTCTGCTTCCACCTGACCAGAAAACATTATCGTAACTTCACTGCCGATAAACTCACTGAAATTCTGCGGTACACGCGTTCGCTAGCCACGGATATTCGTGCAGAGTGTAGAGAAGGAGAAAGAAGAAAGCCAAGAATTGATAAAAGCGGACAGGAAAGCATTAACATAGCAGTTTAATTCCTGTTAGACTCGTAATTACGCAAGCATCTCAAATATATAAAGTTGAATTTGCTGAAAATATATCACACCCGTTAGAATCAAGAGTTTTGATATTGTATAAAGCTTTGATATATTAAAGATATATTTTTCTAACATTATATCGATTATTTAATGAAATTGATTGTAAAATGAAAAATGAAAAAATAAATTCCAAAAGTAAATATATTAATTACAAAATAAATATTTTTTCTATAATAAATAGATATATTAAAAAGAATTAAAATTTATTGAATAAAAATTAAATATGCTAAAATATTTTCTATCTCTTTGCATAAAAAAAAAAAAGCATTTCCACTATGAAATCCTTA